CACATGGGGAGAGACTCAGATCTCCCAAACAAAGGCTGTGTCTAGACTGGCCAGTTTTTCCGGAAAAGCAGCTGTTTTGGCGGAAAAACGTGCCAGCTGTCTACATTGGCCGCTTGAATTTGCGCAAGAACACTGATGATCTAATGTAAGATTCAGAGGGGTAGCCGTGTTAGTCTGAATCTGCAAAAGCGACGAGGAGTCCTGTGGCACCTTATAGACTAACTGAAGTGTAGGAGCATAAGCTTTCGTGGGCAAAGACCCACTTCGTCAGACGCATGACGACGCATGCGTCTGACGAAGTGGGTCTTTGCCCACGAAAGCTTATGCTCCTACACTTCAGTTAGTCTATAAGGTGCCACAGGACTCCTCGTCGCTAATGTAAGATTGTCAGTGTTCTTGCACAAATACTATGCTGTTCCCGTTAGAGAAAAAGACCTCTTGCGCAAAATCCACTCAGCACTTCTGGGCACACCCAACTTACTGAAGGTGCCCAGGCACCTACATCCCTCCTAAGCACTTCATATGATGTCAGGTGGCTGAATGCCTCTTTCCAGGTTTGTGAAGCATGATCAGAGATAGGTATTTCCCTGCAGCCCAGATTTAGAGGCCTATCTTTGTGAGATGGGTGGGGCTTTTACACTCATGACTCTTGTGGACATATCCCATTAGACTAAAGTCCTGATATAAGAAGCTCACTTTGGCCAAGTCTACACTATGCAGAAGGTTGACACTGCTGAGGTCGATCTTTTGGGGTTCAATTTAGTGGGTCTAGAGAAGACCCACGAATTTGAACTGAGAGGGTGCCCTTGTCAGTGCTGGTATTCTTGCTCCTCGCAAGAAGTAAAGGAGTACGTAATTAACATACCTGGAGTTGTGTATCTTAAGTTGACCTTCCCTTTTAGTGTAGCCATGCCCTTTGTGGTTTGCTATCTCTGGCACCTCTCTCTCTCCATTCATTGTGTAGAAACCCACTTGCCTAACTCTGGCTTTGTGGATTGTAGTGCTGTTTGATTGTTGAGGCCCCGAAACATTAGGTGACTTGATGCTTAGTGTTACAACACCTACATCCCTTTGTGCATCCCACTCCTGCTCTGAGTTCCCTGAGTTGATTCCAAAAGTAGAAAGCTGGAGGGAATTTGTTTTAAAAGCAGCATGTAAGAGAATCTAAAGCAACAAGAGAGTTTTAGCAGTGTATTCTGGGCAGCTGCAATGAGCTGGCTGCTATCGTATTTGTAAGAAATAAATTAATTTAACTCTGTCTCTGTGTATACACATGTTTTTCACTACATTTCAGTTAGGTGTCCAGTTACATACATAATGTAACTGCCAAGTGCTGGTGTGTTGTAGAGATCACAAAGAGAACATCCTGGGTTGATGACCAATACCTCACTTGGATTTCATGTAGGCAGGCTCTCTGGAGATAGCAGGTATGGCTAAAAATCCTCCCAGGATGAGTCCTGAAATAGGTATTAATATGCAGACATAGCCCTCTTTCAATAGCATGCTGAAAAATGTTTGAACTATGTACACTAGCCCTATTTAGCTCGGTGACCACTGGACTAGAGCCTCTTCGCAATTGTTCCTTCTGCCCTTACAATATATGACTGTACACATCCTCATGGCATGGGCAATGGAGTTTGACTTTCTGGCAGTGCTTGGAGATAGGTTGTGGGCAAGGTTCCAAGCTGTGCAACAGCAGGGCCCCACAGCTGCTTAATGAGCCCTGCCCAGCCAGGACCACAGAGCTCTGCATGTGGAGCTGCCTGGCTGCAGGAGGAGCACTTCTCCCTCAGCTACAGCAGCAGCTCCATGCTGAGGACCAAGCAGCAGCCTCCCCCCATCAAGTAGAGAGGGGCCGTGTGCCTACGGGCTGAGAGGAGAGACTCGCTGCTCCGTCCTCAGCAGGGAGCTGCTGCTGTAGCCGAGGAAGAAAGGG